TCCATTTCTCTGTTCTTGAGGACATTTTGAAAATAATTTTCACTTTCTCTGCACAAGCTGGATCAACTCCTCTCAAACTATGACTACATGAAGACACTGGAAAATCATGTGATCTGCATTCTGGAATCTAAAAGTGCTGCATTCCCACAAATTATTATATTATTGGGTTGTCTCTCAAAGTTTGTGAAGAGGGAACATACAGCAGTGATGGATAGAGAGGCTTTGGCAGATCCAAGGACTTGGGGCTGCACATGGTGTCAAGAGCATTTGTATGACAAGTGAGTTACCTAAAGCAGATGATTTACAAATGCCTGAGCTTAGACATACGGACATACGACGTCAAGCTGGTTTTGTCCCTTTGGTATGGCTGTCTCTGGGAGTACCCACAAAGTAAAAGCTAGCACATTTCAGAGTCTGGGAGCCTTTGAGATATCCTTCTGCCATACATTCCTGGTATCTTGGAGGAGAGGAGCCCATCTCTACCCCCTTTCATATAGTATAAGAAAAGCAAAATCAGTTATGTCAAGAAAGAAAACAATAGAAGAAAGTGACTTTGGGGATCAGTGTGGAAGAACAGATCTTAAAAGTCGGCTTTTTTTTTTTTTTTTGGTTTTTCGAGACAGGGTTTCTCTGTGGTTTTGGAACCTGTTCTGGAACTAGCTCTGTAGACCAGGCTGGTCTCGAACTCACAGAGATCCGCCTGCCTCTGCCTCCCGAGTGCTGGGATTAAAGGCGTGCGCCACCACAGCCCAGCTTCGGCTTTTTTTTTTTTTTAAGAGAGAACTCAGACTGTTTCTCTAGCTATTTCTGGTTGCCTGCCCCCTGCCATATAGTTCAACTGAGAGAATTGTTAGATAATTTTTAAATTGTTATGGACAAGGAGCCAGGGAAACAGGAGCAGTTTTTCAGAAATAATTCATTATTTATATATTCTTATGCACATAATACCATTTAATCTAAGTCCCAACTTTGTAAAACAAATGTCTTTATCTTCAATTTATAGATAGAAAATTGGACCATATTTGTCAGTTTTGCCCTAAGGGACTCAGATAATTGAAAGGCAATGATAGCACTAAGTTCCATGAACATGTAATGTTCATAGGAATTTGACTTCAATGGAGATTCTCTTCTGTATTTTTTTGCATTCAATATCTCATTGCCCTTATAAAATGAACATATATCTACTCATGATGCATGGATTTAAAACACAGGGAGCTTTCAAGAATACTGTGCTTCTCCAAGAATAACATTAGGTGAGGGAAGTTAAGGGACATAAAGATAAAGTAGATACGTGGGCAGTCAAGAATGGGCTGCCTCTTGTCCCCTTTGGCAGTGTTGTGAAAGCGGACAAGAGCACTTGGCAGGATTCGGTGTGTGTCAGGATGTGACGCTCCTATTGTATGTGTTAGCTCTGACCTTCTTCCCTATGAAAAGGGCCAACTTCCTGCAATGCATGTAGCAAGCATATGAGACTTGGCCCAAGCAGTCTGTGAAGAACCCTTATTTCAGTTTAGTGATAGGGGGTGGCAAAGGCATCCGACCACAGGCTGCCAAACATTTGGGTTATCAAGGCAACAGAATGAGGGGTGCTAGTAGCTATTAAATGATGAGCATACACAAGTAGTTTTGTTCCAATCCTGTTGGACATTTGTAAATATGGAAGTCATACTGACATATAACCAGGCTATCTGGTGATACCCAGTAGTCTGCAATAGTGAAAATTCAGTTTTGCATTTTCAAGGAGGTATGGGGTAGATATACCTTTGAATTAGTCTAAGAGTCATAGCCTTAGGTCTGCTATGATTTTATGTGTAATGATAGGAGAGTCCGACTCCTCTTTGGTTCTGAGAGTACTAGGAGTTCTTCTAGTATGTCCATATGTATAAGCAACACTCTGGGAATGTGCTTTTAATATTCCTGGGAATCAACATGTCAATAACCAGGACATGAAATGGTGTGTGTGTGTGTGTGTGTAATTTATAGTTTAGAATAAGCTGCTGAGGGTCTGTAATCTCCTAACCTGTGGCTCAAATTCTTTGTAAGGAAATATCCACTACTGATACACTAACTTGCAATGGTGTTACTTCAGGTAACACAATTAGATGACTCTCAAAATTTCCATTTTTGCTCGAGAGGAAGGGGGCAAATCTGGAAGCTGTTCTCACATCGGTAGATTAAAGTGCTTGAATAAGGAGCCACGAGGTATGACTCCTTCTCATCCCTGTCTCTGAGCTATTTCGGGGGCAGACAAAGCTGTGATTCATAAATTTCAATGTACACAAGAATATTGAGTGAGTCTGCTGAGGGAGTTGACAGCTGGGCTTCAGCCCCTCAGGGCTTGTGGGGTTAGCTTCCAGGTCTGGAGCAGCCTTAGGGAATGCCATTCTAATACACTGAGAATTCTGCACAGAAAGAGATAAAGCCAAACATAATCTCTGCCCTCTCCCTTTCCCTCAGTCTACTACTAGGAAATCTGTAGCCTCCTGCTTGCAATGATACAGAGTGTCTATTCTTAGCCAGTGATTGGACCAAATGGCAGGAGTGACTCAAACTGTTACACTATTTTTATTTCACTTTTGTTCACTGTTAATCTGGTGAACCAGCTTCATCAATCCAGACATAAAATAAACAGGAATTTAGCCCAGGGGGAAGCAGCACTTTTTCAATGATGGGATTTTAGATACTTTATACCACTGGAGAAGTTCTAGATTTAAAATTAGTTAAAGAAGTCTAACCACTTTGAGTTATAAATGGATAGACTAAAAAGCCCACTGCTTCATGTGGAGATCTCTAAGGAACACTCTTGATATTTGAGGAAGGAAACTATATAAATTCACAACTTGTGGGGCTGTCCATGCAGTTTGGGGAGATAACATAGGTCTAGGTGGATCAGGCTCTAGGTTCAGTTCCCAGACTGCACAAAAGAAATACAAAGAGGAGTATGACTCAAGAATAATGGTATCAAGAATTACACATACTTTCTAAATAAATTCAAATAAAAAGAAAATCACATTTGCCTAATCCCTTATCTTCAAAAACAATTCCAGAATAGGTAATTAGTTTTCAAAACACAAATCAAATTATTGGCTAAATCTTTATGGTTTCTTAGATTTCTGAGATCCCCCCCCTAAATACATCAGATAATTTACTCAATAAAGAGATATAAACATCCCACTTACATTCCTTAATGTAGTCCATAGTTCACATTCCCTTAATAACCCAGTGTGGAGAAGAGAGTCACCTACTCACCCAAGGACCAAAGAAGAATATGTGAAGTTGATGTTATACACCAAACTGCTAGCAGGAGGTACTGTGGGGCAGTGGTACCCTGTAAAGACTTGTCACTTGTATTGACTTAATAAAACACTGATTGGCCAGTATCCAGGCAGGAGGTATAGGTGGGGCAACCAGAATAGGAGAATTGTGGAAAAAGGAAAGGCTCAGTCTACAGTTGTTACCCAGACCCAGAAGAAGCAAGGTGAAAATGCCTCACTAATAAAATGTACGAAGCCACGTGGCTAACACAGACAAGAATTATGGGTTAATTTAAGATGTACAAGTTAGTTAATGAGAAGCTTGAGCTAATTGCCAACCAGTTTATAATTAATGTAGACCTCTGTATTTCTTTGGGACTGAACAGCTGCAGGATAGGACAGGACAGAAACTTCTGTCAACAAAGAGGAAGGAGTAAATTGAAGGGAGGACCTATTTCTCCCCAATTGTAATTGTCATTGTAATTGTGATTTTAGTGTGGTTGAATGATAATTGACCCTATGGGCTCATATATTTGAATGCTTTGTCTGCAGTTGGTGGAACTAATTGGGAAGGATAAGGAATTGGGGCCTAATGAGAGAAGGTGTGTCACTGGGGTGGGCTTATCATAAGCCATCTCCCTTCCCAGTTACCTCTCTCCCCCATGCCTATGGACAATATTGTGAGCCCTCTCTTTCTGCTTCATGCTTGTAGATCAGAGGTCAGTTCTTAGTTAGTGCTACAGTACCATGCCTGATTGCCTGCCAGCCTGCCTGCCCCCGTGCCTGTCTGCCTACCTGCTGCATGCTCCCTTTCCCTGAGGGTCATGGAAACTAGGAGCCTCCAAATTAAATTATTATTTTATAAGTTGCTTTGGTCAGGGTGTCTCTTCACATCAAGAGAAAAATAACTAAATAACATCTTCAAGACCTAAGTGTCAGTTCCAGATCAACCTCTCATTGGAAATTGCCGTGAGATTCGAAGTCTTTGTAATTGCTGAGTTCTGTACTCAAAGATCTGACCATTCACATTTGAATAATGAGCATCAATATGATTTAAATAGAGCATTTAAGAGACGCTCCGCTAGCGTGAAAGAAAATAAATCTGTCTAGCAAATCACTGTTGCTCTAAGTTGTTCATTCCCTCCCTGTACTGGCAATATTTATTCCTCCCTCACTCTATGTATCTAGTAGTGACTACCAATACAGAAGGAAGTGTCCCTTAGTCCTTGATGTTGGACATGGCAAAGGTAAACAGGTTGACAGAAAGGGTAAATAGGTACACTATGTTTCAGTGTGCCTCGTGGAATTTTGCAATTCTCTTGCAGAACAGACTCAAAGTGCTTCACATTCAGAGAAGTCCAACAGAGCCAGTAGGCCCTGTTGAGATCACCAAACCTCAATCCACCCAAAGACTCATAAACAAAGGATGTATAGATATTCCAATGAGCGTTTCCTTGTCTGTTGGGGAGGTGACTGCCCTACCAGTACTGCAGCCATGTCTGATGGATATGGTAGGTAGAAAAGAAAATCATTAAAAGAGAGAATCCTCAGCCAAGTATGTAGCTTTGATGTACAAAAATACATTTATTTTCAACAATTTCAAAACCACTGTCCTTTTTACAGTAGAAATATTCAAATGGAACAGTAAAACCAAGAACAGTATATGTACATATACTGTATATATATAGATATGATTCATGCACTGTATTCCAGTGTTTGGTACACATATTGCAATTGTATGCCCCGTTTAACCCTTAAAACGAAAAGGATCTTTAGAAACATTTCTAACACTGACCTAGGCTGTAGCCAGCTAGATTTCTCTATCACATTCTCCCCGTGTCTCACAAGGAGGAACATGAACAGCATCCTGTGAGGGTTACTAGGTACAAAATGTGGCCTCTCCTCCCATATATATATATACAGTATATCATTCTTTAAAACAGGTGTGCTCAGGCAGAGCCTGGAAACGAAAACAACGCTTATAGCATGGTGGAAAGTGATCCTACGGAAAAGAACTGGCATGTCAAACGTGTGGAGGGGCTGAGGTGCTAGGGAAGTGAGGAAGGGCTTTGAAAGCCCTTCACCTCAGACGCGAGGACTACCTTAAGGGAACTGGAGGCAGACGTCGGACTTTTAGGAAGTTGTGTACATCTGACAAGCAAACAGCACAGCTTTGCTAAATCATGTCTGACTAATATCATTAAGGGCTAGGCCTCTATTCGGCCTGCAGGGTTTGCACAGAATCGGGATTCCACAAAATGGCACCTCTAGTCTAGCCTCTGACTATTCTCATTCCAGTAGATACTCACTGAGCCTAACATAGTGCCCACGGACTGTTCTGAGCTCTGAGTAGCTTGGAACTTGCCATGAGAAATGCACATATTCCTGGAATCCAATTTCTGAAAACAGAAGTACCAGAATCCTTAGATCCATTGCTCCTTCTTTAGAGAGTTCTGCTTTCTTGGGCTGGTAAATAGCATTCTTTTTGTTTGCTTTTTTATTTTTTTTTTTTGGAGAAAAGGTCTTATTTCCCCAACTGGGTTTCAGTTTGAAGTCTCTACTAGGCCTTGTGTTACCTTCCATGTTATCTCATGAAGAAAACAGCCCCCATGTTCTCAGATGCCAATAAAGTCTTTCCTTTGTTAACTGCCCCAAAGAAGCCCTCCTCGCCCACTTTATATACATAAGCAGAAACCAGCTATGGTGTGGACAGAGACGCAAGAGTTGAGTGTGACAGAAATCTGGAGAGCATCCAGAATCCAACACATCAAGCAGGCTGGGGGGCGGTCGGCACTGAAGGTGAGTGCATAAGCCAACACACACATCTTTCTTTTTTTCTGTTTTCTTTTTTACTAAACATTAAATTATTTCTTAGGAAATAAAAAGCTATTTACATTGTAGTTATATACAATATGCCATCTGTAGCCTCAGAATTGACATGCACGAGGCAGGGCCTCTTTCAGAAAGGTGTGCGTGCCTTTGGCAGCTACGTCCACTCCCCCCTCAACCTACATCCTGCAATTGAACCGGGGGATGATATGTGTTGTGTGTGTATGCACTGTGGAGGGTGGCAGGGGCAGGAGAAATAGAAATGAACAGAAATCCAATTCAAATAAAGGCAGAGGAACACAAGAATGTCTTTGCTCTACCACCAGCAGAGTAAAGCAAGGAGCCTGTGGGAAAACACATCCTTAACACAGACACAATCATGTATTCCTTCATCCGTTGCAATCAGCTAAGGATGCCTCTGTTTCCTCCCAAAGCTCAGTATCTGCCTGTTATTTATGAAGGAACCCTTGGTAAACAAAAGGTAAAAAAGACATTTTCATTTTTCCATAATAACAGTAATAATAGTCATCAAAAATAAAAAGTCAGGAAGGTGGTTGACCATGTGGCTTCTTGGTTAAACACTAGTACAGTTGGGGATCTCCTTTGTGCTCTCGCTGTTTGCTATGGTGGCAATGCCTCCTGCAGGGAAGAAAAGACACAGAGACGAAACAGAGTAAGTTCCACAGGGCTGATGGCTCTTCCCTTTATTCACTGCCAAATAACAAACTGCCTGGAACAGGCTGTAGTAGGTTTTAACTAAGTAGAGCATCTGGATATTCCTGCCAGATCACTAGCTTCTCATCCACCTCCATAGAATATAGGTAGGATCAACATGTTGACAGCCATATTACATTATCTTCCATTGTGCTGCTCATAACAGCAATAGCTGTGTATATATAGAGAGGTGGCAAATGAATTTTGAAACAAGACTATCACAGTAACCAATGCTTTCCCCAGTCTTGCAGTCCACAACTGTCTGGTAGCACATGCATGCAATTCCAGCTAATGACAGAATGTTTGGAGGACACAGGACTTTGAGTGTGGTGGCACCGGCACACATACCTATGACCCGTGTATCCAGCTCTTTGTCCAGCAGTTCTTCGGGCTCAGTGAAATCACTGAGTGTGATTTTGGGGGCATTTTCACTTTGGCTCACTGATCCGATCATCTCCTGCTCCTTGTCATGTTGGACTTGGGCATAGATGTTTATCCAGGGGATTTTCCTACATGAGGTAGGAACAAAATCAAAGTGAGATAAAAGGGCAAGCCTGCTGTAAGCAACAGAAAGTTCTAGGGGTAAGTAGAGGAAATGCCATTTACAGGAACAGCCAACATCAGAGAATGGCCTGGCCAGGCACGTAGACCCTGAAGCCAAAGATGCAAAGCTAGCCAGAGATCAAAATGCCCAGGTGAGATTGAACCTGCAGAACTCTCTTTAAAGGGGCCAATGATGTTGACGAGTTACTAAGTAAAGTCTGAAAATATCCACCTGTTATTACATTTGCAAAGGAGCTGGACTTTGAGTCTTATGTGACTCAAATGGCACTTTTCACTAAGTTGGCATATATATAATAGATTATGTTGCTTTCTTTTATGAACAGCCCAAAATAAGAGACTCATAGCCATTGTTATAATTTTTACAGCAATACACCTGGGCCAAATATATAAAATATTTTGATAGTTTCCACCCTCTGCTTAATGGGAATAACAGTAGCTTTATTTTTAGCATTAAGAGTATGTTAAAGAAAAGATTAATAAAGGTAAGAGAAAGACATAAAAGGAGTAGGTTTTGAGACATGAGACAGTCAATTTAGGACTGGAAGAAAGAAAGTTCAGACTGAAATCTTACTGAGACTGACTTTTTCCCCAGCCCCTCTGGCACGATCTCCTGCCTAACTCTCTTCCACTCTCAGCAGGCTCCTCCCCATAGTGCTCCCCATACCCTTATGCAAACATATTTCAACTATGGTCTTCAGTATAATGCGACTTGTGACTCAGACTCAAATGGGATGGATCTGGGATCTTCATTCTGCCAAGTGCTCAAGAGTGGCTTATATCAGTTCCTCTTAATACTGAGCTATAAGAATCTACACAAAACATTCTTCCCTCTGGGGACTTGACATTGACCCTACTGTTCCCTCTATCTATAGGAGATATCTACTGCTCTCTCTATCTTTAGAAGATATCTACGGTTCTCATGGTGATGTTTCATCCCTGTCCTTCAGAATTTGGCTCATGTATCACTCCTGAAGGCTCCTCTGACCCCTGATCTCTCCTTGTTTAATGTGCAATTGCAAGACAAAGTCTACTAAAGAAGTCAGGTTTAGTTCATTATAGTAGCTCATGTTTATTCATTTGTTTTTCTGTCATTCTCACTCGATGGGCAAGGTCTAAGTGGACTATGTTCACAGTTATACAGACAGCACACAGTTTTACTTAATAGATGTTTTTTGAGGGGATGAATAAAATATTCAAATCCTGTGCTCTATGCATTTTTCTAGACCAGTTTTCAATATAATGGCTGTACTTTTATGCTGGCTATACGGTATAACCAGAAGTTATTTTTTTTTACTTCATTGAATGGTGTGGATATTGAACTAAATTATAAAATGACAAAAAGCCAGTAAATATCTTCTAATGTCTAGTTCAACCTAATGTATTCCATGTATTCTTAAAGGTCCATCTCTCTCTTCTAGTAGGATTTTCATGCTTGTATCTTCTTCAGTCTATTCCAACCCCAAATGAGGCCAAATATGTAATGAAGTTTTCCAGAATAACTCTCATAGGAAACTCTGAAAGTAGGTTTTAAGCACATGCTTTTCTCTACTTTTCTTCTATGCTCAATTTTCATGTCTTGGTTTTCTTTCCATACATGAAAGGTTGTTTCCTCACATTTCCTACTGGTCTATACCTGTGGGACCCAATTTATGATACTTTAAGTGTGCATGATCTTGGAGGCAAAACCTGACACACTCCATGAATGTACATAATTAAAAATTCAGGGGTTGCAGTATCAACTCAATTTCCATAAGGACTTGTATAGCATTCATTGAGCTATGGGTTCAATCCCTAGCATCTCACAAACTGGCCATGGTGTGCATGCCTATAATTAGAGTGCTTAGGAGGTACATGCATGAGGATCAGTTCAAAGTCATCATCAGTTATATAATGTGTTTGAGGCAAGCCAGAAATAAAGGGAAAAAATGCAGAGAAAAAGATAACTAGATAGATGAAGATAGATAGATAGATAGATAGATAGATAGATAGATAGATGACAGATTATAGATAGATAGATAGACAGACAGACAGATAGATGATAGTTAGACAGACTTAATTGGCTTTTACTTTGATTATTAAATAAATTCACATATAGTCTATGAATTAAATTGCTTCTAGCCAGAAAACTACAATTGCTCATAAATGTGAAGTTCAACTATAATGTTAATATTCACTAGGTCTAGGGGCAGACGTAGTGTATTCCTGATCATACAATTTGTTATCCACCTTTCCTGCTTAGCTAAAGACACCTGGGAGTGTTTGTACTCATTAGGCCTCACAAAGACTGCTCACTTTATTTCAATCCCTGAAAGTAAACATGTTTTCATCTTCAATAGATGACTGGAAGGGACTGGCTTTGACATCACGATTTGTAACATTATAAGAAGCTGTCAAGTTGCTTTTCATTGCTTAACACATTCACTTGTAGAATTTTTGAAGATGTCAGTCAAGTCTGAGCTCCGTGTTTCCATAAAGAGATGGAGGAATGTGTCTTGGGCCACATATCCATACAGGTTTAAATAAGAGGAATAAGCTGGGGGAGTGCAAGTATCCTAAAAAAGCAGGCAATCAAACCAAATCAGGTTCAGTTTATATTCATTTTCTCCAGCTATGAAGAAAGCAGATTTGAACTATAATGAAAGCCCTATTGAAAGAAAAATAGGTGGGAAGAAATATAAGGGCTCTAAATTTTTCTTGAATAACCAGAAAAAACATACATAGTGATAGAAAGCAGATCTTTCTTGTTGAGGATTTTTCAGAGAGTAAAATCACATTGCAAGAATTTTTAATTATATTTCTAAGGCTTCTGGAAACCACAGTCACCATCTACGAAGCAGATGCAATGTGAAGGGTCGGTGCTATTTACTTGAAGGGTGTTTGGTGATCTTATTTCTCTCTCGTTTTCTTAACTAACTTTATTGGGTGATTCTAAGTGCATAGAGCATAGTAGGAACTCAATATGTATTTGTTGGATGAATGGATGTTTAAATTAGTTTGTACTGGTAGTCCCATCAAGAGAAAAATTTGCTTGTATAAACAGTAGAGTCAATCACCTAGAAATAAAAGTGCAACTGTCTTCATTACCTTGCTGAGCCATTCATCAGTGTTTGGTAGCCAGGTGTAACTACATGTGTTTTGATAAACGTCGATATGAAAAACTGAGCTACCATATCACTGCAGATGTTTTGATGCATGTTCATTGTTACAGAAATGCGACTGGATGGTAATGAGCAAGGCAGAGGAGAATGAGAGATCCAGGAGGCTGCCTGACCTTTCTTTGTTTGCTAGCTGGCATGCCCTGCACAGTCATCAATGGGATTCTACAAGATGGGAAGAAAAGAAAAGGCCAGAGAAATAAAAGAAAATTTAGCCAAGTATCAACCAAAGGCCTGGAGCATTGAGAGGTAAACACAGAACAGGAACATAGACTAGGAAAGTAAAGGTTAACTTTTGGCTTACTGCTGTTTATCAAGTTTGACTGGCACTAGTCCACTGCCAGAAAAAGAAAGTTTGGGCTGATAATTGAGAACTACAAAGTATAGTAATTCTGAAACATCATTATCTGACTGGATTCAAGTACGAAAGTCTACAGAGTTAGAGTTGTCTACATAAAGAAGTTGGCTGTCTAGGGAGTTTAGCCTTCTTTATACATAAAAAGTTCTGAGTCATAAGATATCTTGCACTAATTCGAAGAGTATGATGAACAAAATTGCATCTTGAAGGATTTCTATTGGCTCTCATCCCCATCTACCATGGGATGCTAGAACAAGACAGTGACATTTTACTCAGTTGGTACTCAGTTCCTGGTCTTTACATTCCTTACAGCATAGAGATTCTCACAGACACATACTTGGGTGACTGACATTCTGTTTTACATAGAATTTAAGTACATCCATAAAATGGTGCCTTGTCTTATTAGACATTTTCCCTTTAATTACAACAAAAAGTTTTTCCTATCTTCAAAGCAAACAGGAGTAGATGGACTCAGACACCTTGACCCGAAAGTACATGACTCCTCATTCACATTCATAAGTCCACATATTACTTCCATAGTGAAGTAATGCCAGCCTGTCTTTCCAGTGAGCGTGGGAAAGAGTTGAGAGATTCTTGTACTTGTTGCCAACAGCAAATTTTATATTGAGTAGAAAAGACATTCCTAAGCACCAGAAACATCCACCGGAGAAGAGAAAAATGGCGAGGGAAGAGTAACTGCCCCTCCACCAGTCCACCTCCTCTACATCCACAGAGATTATCTTCACAGTCCAGGAACACTCACAGACCAAGACATGTTTTAAAAACTCACATAATTAATAATGTTATCTTCATTTTACCCAGGCTCCTCAATTAGTAAGACTCTTCCTCAATATTTTTGGAAGGCTGTTATTGTGTATATTAGTTTATGGGCCATGGACATCATTGGAACACACAGTCCCTGGTTCTGTTATTAATAATACTCAGTATTATCAAATTTTCTTGACTACTTAGTATATATAAGTTACAACTATTAATATGTTTAATTCACACAACAAAACCGTAAGATATCATTGTTTTCCACATCTTACAAGTGAGGAAATGAAGTCTTAGAGATGTAAATACAGTTGTCCAAGAGTATAAACGCCAGAAGGAAAACTGAGTCCATGTGATTTCAGAGTTTATATCCCAAATCAGTAAGCCTCTTGGGAGCTCTACATAATTTGAATACTAGTGCATAACTGTTCATTTTAACTCCATTTTTTTGCTAATATCCTATTTATACTATTATGTCACCCGTCCTGGGACTTTCAAAAATAATTTCTGAATATATATATAATATATATACAATATATACATAATATATATTATATATATTTGCTTGAAGAGTTTCTTTTAGAAACAGTAAAAGAAGGAAACAGGAACAATTTATAATATGCAACATTTTATTCTTTCTTTTTTTTTTGAAAACTTGAATCATAGTCTCATATAACCCAGGATGACCTCAAAATTACTGTGTAGCTAAAGATGATCTTAAATTCTGATCCTCCTGGCTCCACCTTTCAAATGCTATGATTACAATCAGGTGCCTTATATCAGGTTTATATAGCAGTTGGGATCAATCCCAGGGCCTTGAGCATGCTAGATAGATACTTTACACATTGAGTTATATGTCCATCACCTACCTTGCAGGCTGAAACAACAATTGGATAGCAACAATATGAGACAAGGAAACATAGGTATACAGTGTACATAGTGCATGCGTTTGTATTCATTGAAAATGAAGATTTTTCTCTGTTTAACTACTCTGCATGGTTGTTGGCCTGTATGAAAACACTTCTGGACTATCTGAGAACTTACTTCAGAATATGGGTGAGATTTGAAAATCCTCTCACACATTTATTATGGAGAATAAATCAATTTCAAAACTAATCCCTATTTTCTTAATCTGTTAAACCTACAAAATTAATGTAGGTCTGATTCTCAAACACAGTCATTCCCTGATTCCAAGTCACCCCTAATTTTTCTCCAGCACTGAGGGAAGCATCAAGAAAAATGAAGATCACATTGTAGATATGAGCTGAGGAACATCGGTCATAAGAAGAGTCAGCTGCAGTGAACCTCACTTGGAGCTCCAATCAGACGGACAATAGCACTTACCTTTTAAACTTGTAGATCAGAAACACAGCCAAGCCGACAAATACCACTGACAATAGCATAAGCATGGCAGAGCTGCTGTGCCCAGCGCTGGAGTCCACCAGTGGAGCTGGGGGGGGGGGGGGGGGAGAAGAGAGGTGCTCAGGATGAAGCTGGAGCGAGGGTGGAGACACTGGAGAATGGAGCCTGACTGCCCGCCCTGGTTTCCAGTCTCCAAAGGCCTGCATGCTACTTGGGCACTGGACATGCTCTGATGAGAAGAATTATTCTAAACTTTCACGGAAACTTAAGCTGCTCTGTTGTGTCTGGGGACACTTACTGGTTAGGGTATATACTGAGTACCTGTGACTCACTGAGGGAGTAAAGACCTTGCAATCTTTGTCTCATTAGTTTTCTCAACAATGTGGTAGCACGCTGATAAGTTTGGGTTTACCATAAATCAAATCTTAAACTGTTTTCTCTCCCTCTACCACACTCTGTAGGTAGAAGTCCCCTAGATAGTGAGCCTTAGGAACTCTTTAGCAGAAAATTCTGCCCACCCAATAAGCAGGCTGTCCAAAACCGACATGTCCATGTCCAATAGGACATGGCAATTCTATTCCTTTTGTAAGGCACCCAGTGACAGCTACCTGATCCGACTTCCCACATGACTCACATTCTGTAAATGGAATGGGATCTTAAAGTTTCCTGAGTTGACCTCTTAAAGAGACTCAGAATCAAAGAACTTTGAAGAACCCAAGTACCACCCACATAACCCAACCACCTCAAATATAAAGTCAAAGAAATATAACATTTTCTCAAAATAGTATCAGGAATTCAATAATAAAGCCACTTGTAAAAAAAGTCTTCCTGCAGTAGCTCCCAAGATACCATCAACCCTTTATCACACATACAGGCTTAGGTGTTGCATCATCTATGGAAAAGGGTTCAGAGAGTATTCCTTCCTTTTTCTGCTCAAAATCATAACTCATCCATCTTCACATTCCCTGAATCCAGCAAGTACTCACCTAATGTCAGCTGTGTGACATATACAATGACCTGGACCCCTGGCTTCAGCTCAAACTGTACCAGGTTTTGGTTTAGCGCATTAAATACTGTCTCTACAATCTGTAAAACAAGAGAGAGGGTTCATAGGCAGACATGACAAATGATAGTACTCCCTTATAAGTCAACTGGCAAAAAAAAGTTCATTCATGAGATAAAGACATCTTTATCAACTTGGTTCTCATAGCTACAGAGCTTTCATGAGACCGAGAAGTGGAAAGGCAGAAAGAGGTATGTCAAAAAAGAAAAAGCAGCTTTCCAAAGCTCCCCATGAATGAGAGCTCCAACAGACATAGTATTTCATTCAACTTCTAGCTTAGACTTCTTTCATCCCTGCCTTTATAAGCAGAGGCCTGTTGTGGGTTCAATGGAAGAATGTCAACTCATCTTAGTTCTTTAATCTGATCAGGTAACACACTGGGTACAGAGGCACCCGCAAGGATTAAAGCCCAAGCAGAACCCCATCCCAATTCTCTGCATATTCTATTCCATAGACAATGGGAGGCAAACATCAAAGAAAAGGCTGCCTCCTTTTAAGGGATAATTTTTCCTTTTTCCACAGCAAGTCTCAGAACACACAACACAGATTTAATCACTCTCTGATTCCCACGTGAAAGCTGAGGCTCACTTAGCCTGTTGTCTCCAAATCTTATCTGCCTGTACACACCTTAATATCACAGCTGCTATCCATCACTGTAATTACCTGTTTATCTAAATGGATGGATAGTGGAGCTTCCAAATATAGTTCATGCTTGCTACTTGCTATTTCAGAATAATGAAGGCTTAGAAAAGTGATATGTACACCAAGAAGATGGATTTGTTTTTGAGTGACTTTAACATACACTCCGTGATGAGGAGAATTCCTTCAGTCCAGACAAAAGGATACCAGCACTTCTCCTGCCTGAACACTATGGACGGGTGTCACCCAAGCCAGGTGAGAACTGGAAAGATGCAGGAGTCTGCGCAATGGTTCCTCCACATAGGAGCACACGTGTTTAAATCACACAGCCTTTCGGCAGCTTTGTTCCCTCTTATTTCCATTTCTCTTGACTTAGCATCATGAGGAGATAGGAGAGGGCAGCACAGCGTGCAGCCAGCAATATCCCAGTGGACGCAAAAGCGATAGGAAGAAACAGCACACTAGAGCCTATTTGCTTCCAGAACTGTGCGCTGATCACAAGAACCATGTGTCCAACAATGACAGTCAGTCATAACCCACTTTGGAAATAATGCTCCTTTTGTCAAAGCAAAACCCATCTTTCTTCAAAGAAAAGTGTCTAAAAGCAATATGTTTCCTCCCCAGAACACTGACCATTATCACTAGGGCCCATGCAGTTGAAAGACCTTATTCCCACAAACAGATAGGGAAACACCAGTATGCGTGACCCTGTCTGCCTCTGTCTCTGTATTTATATCTGTCCCTTTCACTCTCTCTCTCTCTCCTTCAGCAGTGGAGGGCACGAAGGGCTCAAGAATGCCAGGCACTGGAATAAGTGAGGCTGGGACACTATTCTACCCTTGTTTATTATGCATAGGGGGTTGATAACTGTTCAAGATCCAAGATATTGGGACAAGAGCCACTGGCTGACTGGTAGGCTGCTCTTGCTCTTTGACTAGAGACCACTTTATGTTAACACAGAGCCTGGTGTGGTGGCAGGTGTCCCAGTCGACAGTCTGTGACTTACTTGCTCTAGATCCCCTTCGTGGCCTTTCCTCCTCTCTGTCAAGTTCTTGGGTGGGAGGATGAAAAGCTCTGCTGAAGTGGGGAGACCTGGGAACACAGCCACGAGAATCTGGTCTTCTGGGACACTGGTTACCTGCAAAACATTTAAAGAAAAGAGTTAGGGTTTAAGTGCCAGCCTTCCATAGACCAGTAGCTAGGAATGGAGTATTCATAGCCTTAGGCCCAGTATGATGTTTTTAAAACGTCGTAATCAAGACCCAGGCTGCAGTGTACACCCAGACTGTCCTTCTGTTACCCCTCAAGCTGCCAGCTAACCCTCCACTGCCTTCTCTGCCCTCGCTTTCAGTTGTCCTGAAACTCAGAGAGTATTCCAAATGATTCCTCAATGGTATTTACTGGGAGCATTTACAAAAGTTTGTCTTATATTTTCTACTTCATTTTTATTGAGAAAACTAGACCAGCGGCTCAAACTTGAATAGAATGGGTCCAAATGAGGAGTAAGCAGTCACAAAGAAACATGCAGGGGCATGGTGAATTCAAAGTAACAGCACAAGAGCACTTGCTTTCTCAGTTAAAGTAGGAACGCTTTGAGGTTAATAGGATTATTGGTGTGGCTACAGTGGAAGGAGAACCACTCACCTGGACTGGAAACATGAAAAAGAATTGATACCTATCATCAATTTGCTTTCCAACAGAATTTATTTCAGACCATAGAAGTACTCAGGTTCTTCAACCTGCAACCGTAACATGTTTAGTCCTAAGGAAATGATTCAAAATGTCTGAAAACCATACATAGCAATAAACATGATATTATCTAAGGTAAAAATAAATGGGAAGCTTAACCACTCAAAAATTAAGAAAATACTGCTATAATCACATGGGAAAATATTATTCTATGTTGCAGGTGATGTTGAACACTATATGAGGTCATGTGGTTACTTATAATGGCTGCATACTCATTTTATTTCTATATAATTCTTTCATTACAAGTTTATAAAAATATAAATGTATATAAGATATAAATTCTAAATCTTAAGATGGGATTATGGGTGATTTTTTCTATTCTTGAGCATCTGATTTTATTGAGCTTTGTTATTAAATATTTAAAAGGGCCAAACTTCTGATGGAAAAAAAATGGGTGAAAATGAACTAAATTTTCCTGTAGATTATTCTTTCCTGTGTGTATTGATGCTCTTTGATTAAGAAAAATGTCTATTCTCTCAATATAAATATGAGAGAGGATATGTGTTTCAGCTGAAATGCCACCTCACTTAAAGGATTCTCATGTGACCATCCGCCTGCAATTATGTCTTCCAAGCTATTCAAATCACAATTGTCACCACACTTCATGGACACTGATCATGTCCACCATTGCCTACAATTGTATCTCTTAGTTGCAGTCCTTTTTTTTTTTTTTTTTTTTTTTTTTTTTTTGGACAGATGTTGACTGTGTGCTTGCCCAGGCATCCACATTCCCGGAAATCTTTGAGGATACTTCACTATTCTAAAGTTGCTTGTCATGGTAGAAACTCAATGAGCCAATGATGCTTGCTGAATTGAATGGAGGCAGAAGGGTAGATTGTTACCTATTTGCTCAGCTCTAATTCCTATGTAGAACTAGGCTTAATGATTGGAGCTAACTCTCAGGGTTACTATAAACTAAAGAGAGCCAGGAAGGCAGAAACAGCAATAAAGCCTAAAAAAAAATAATCTACCAGCCACAAAGGCATTGCACTCCCACGGTGGTTTTCCAGACATATCAGTATTGTGTGGGGATGCATGACCACCAAATATCTGGAAGTCGCAGAATCCTAGTACACAGATCAGGAAGACCTTCTCCTCATCAGCCAGAAGTAGCAAGTATTAGAGCCCAAGAAAGAGTGAACCATTTTGATACAGACAGAAGTTTCTGTCCTGCTTGATCCCACATATATTCAGTACCAAAGAAACACACAGAGGCTTGTATCAATTATAAACCATTTAGCTTATTAGCTTAGGCTTATTATTAACTAGATCTTGCAACTTAAATTAGTTTGTAATTTATGTCTATGTTTAGCCACATGGCTTGGTATCTTTTCTCAGTGATACCAAGATCTTTTCTCATCTTGCTTCCTCTGCATCTGGCTGGTGACTGACTCTGCCTTTCCTATTCCCAGAATTCTCCTAGTTTGGTTGCTATGTCTATACTTCCTGCCTGGCTATTGGTCAATCGGTGTTTTATTGAAGCAATATGAGTGGCAAATCTTTACAGTGTACTAGATCATTATCCCACAAAATTTTGAGGATTACCTAACAAAGCTAAGAGGTGAACATGCCAGTGCCTTGGCTGGTGTGATCCTCCTTGTTTCATCTCAGGAAGGGTCTGTCAGGGGTCATAGAGGGAACCTTGAAGCTGTGCATCTACACACACTTAATCCTGTCTAAAGGGACATGTGATTAAGAAATTGACCTCTTGAAGTTTTGTTTGTTTGTTTGTTTTGCTTTGTTTTTGAGACAGGGTTTCTCTGTAGCTTTGGAGCCTGTCCTTGGACTAGCTTTTGTAAACCAGGTTGATCTTGAATTTAAAGAGATCCACCTGCCTCTGCCTCCCTAGTGCTGGGATTAAAGGCATGCGCCACCACCACCAAGCTGATCTCTTAAAGTTTTAAGGACTAGGCAACAAGATATACACAGTATCCAAATGGTTTGTATGTAAAACATGATCCCACCCTGGATGTACGCTATGGCCTGAGCACTCGTGATCTACCTACAGTTTATGTTTGAAGCCTCAGCATCAATGGGATAGTCATGGAAGGAAGGGCTTGGGGAGGGTGATTAGGCCATGAGGGTAGGACAGTCATGAATGAGATCAGTACCCTTATTCAAGTAGTTCTAGATAACTACTTTGCACTCTTTCCACTGTGTGAACACAAGGTGAGAAAATGCCATTTATGGATCATGCTCTTATCAATGTCTTGGTCTTCAACTTTCTAGCATGGAGAATTTCAAGAGATAAATTTTTGTCATTTGTAAGTCAATCATTGTACAGTAGCCCAGACAGAATAAAGAGGCTGTCTTATTCTTATCTCTTTCTATGAATAATTCCTTTATAAAGAGTTTGAAGTTTCCTTAAGATACTGCCTACAGGAATTCCCCTCTGTCCTCCTCACTAACTTACTCTACTTCCTTCCTGTCAGCTCCTTTTCCATATCTTTCCCTGTGTTTTCCCCCTTTGCTTTGAAGCATGTTAGCAGTCTCGATTCCCTGATCCCACTTTTCTCCCAGGCAAGACTCATGATCTCTACAGCATTGGCTCAGACTTTGCTGCTCCATCTTGGATCTCTGATTGACCTTCAGGTCCACATTCACAGCTGTTCATGTCCATGCAATCATTTCTCATGTCTTCCAAATTCACATCAAATGATCAAAACCTATCACTGTTCCCAAATACAGTCTCTGCTACATAGTCCTAAATTAGTTAGTGGCAAGAACACCTCATATCTATTGTTTGGATTACAAAGTTTTTCTTTTCCTCTCACCTATAAGTTCCTAGTACTTTTGTTGTTCATTATATTCATGATCCCTTGTCTCTTTTCTCATTGTGATTTAATTTTACATGGTCTATACAACCCCTGTTTTTGTTTGAAAGCATATCCACATCCTGCCCTTTCTGCCTAAGCATCCTTTCTTCTGCATTGCCATAGCAATAGGTGCCTGGCATATATATACACATATATATACATATATATATATACATATATATAGAGAGAGACAGAATTTTCTACTTAAAAGAAACATCATACTTTTCACATCCTCTGATGCCTACAACTTAGCTCTTCTGATTCTTCACACTATGATTTAACCATTACTGACCACTTTGTTCTCCTGTCAGATAGAGATTGACCACACAAAACTCTGTCATTTCTGCAAAATACTGAGCGCTTCTAGCAGGAATTGGCTTTGCATCTACTCTTCATTCTACCTGAAACGTAAAATCTCTTCCCTATTAACTGGCACATATCCTTTAAAATACAGTTCAAATATCTTCATTGGAACCACTCCAATAGTTCAGGAAACATCTATTGAATTGAATGCATGGGTCAGCCTTGCCATCTCCAGGATAGGGAAGTCACATATTTCTCCATGCTTTTTGGAGATGCTGGCTATGCCTCTACATCACAGAACAAATAGCACATTAATTAGACTTACTTATCCACTTAAGTTAAATGTTTTACTCATTGATATATTCTAGTATGTATTTCCAAGACTTGTTAACAACACTCGTATTTTCCCCACAGCAAATATAACTTTGACTTAAATCTATAGCTGTTTTTCCCTGGTGGACTGCTCTGTTTCTTAGCTGTGTGGACAACAGTAACCTAGTGAACTTAAATATCTATTTAAGAAGGACCCAATCATAGGCAATTTGCAGATAAATGCATAAAATTAGTAGAGATTCATCAAGCTGTTATCCATTTCATTAGGAGTGTCAAGACCCTGTCTCAGAAATACTTGGAACAAACACCGAGCCAATTTCCATCTTCAGACACTAGACTAGACTCTATTCTATTCCCAGCTGTACTCTCATGTCTCCTTTTTTTTCCTCCTCCTTACTCAGTTCTGACTTTTATTTCTTTCTCTATATGGATAAAAAATCCTCATCTTTCTTTGGAACAGAATTTTGAACTATAGGTTCTGTCATCTATTGCTTTTTTTTTTTTTTTGTCTCAAGGAATCAGAGTCAACTCACCTTAACCAGAGCTCTCTTGATAACATTGCCTATGTCTTGCCTCCACTCGGGAATATCAGGGTTATGGTAATCCAGGTTTGGAGAGAAGGATAAGAGCTGTGACTGGAAGTACTCTGCAAGAAGACAGAATGTGCAGGTGAAGCTGACAGAGTGAGATGCGAGGCTTCAATGGGCCATGGACCCATAACCATGTACATTAGAAACCAGTTCTCTTTCACGAGGTTTCAGCTACCTTTCCTTATTTTCAGCTGCTCTTTGGCTTCTGAAAAGAAAGGCATTTGGCCACCAAGAGTAGATTTGTGCTCTTCCTCATGTTGCTAACTCCTATAAAGAATATTGGTTAAAATGAAAGACAAGCAGGGAATCCCAGAGGAGATCTGAATTCCCTTCTGTGTATCACAGAGACAGACCAAAGCATAGCAATCAGGAATGGCTGGGATGGATGCTTTCCAGCTCTCTGACCCCAGTTCCATTCTCTAAAAATCCCTCACAGGTGTGGAAAGTAGGTTAAACTTTGTCTCTAGCAATGTAAGGTAATGCTTGATTTCTTGACCTGGTTAGTAAGTACACACGTGTATCCACTTGGTGCTAATTCATGAAAATCAGCATTTCTGATGTATCCACTTTACAGTGTAACATTTACACTCCTACAAAAATATTTACTTCAGGTCCCGATAAGGGTCTCCAGTGGTCATCTGGCATAAAAGCAGGAAAAGAACTCACTGGGGCAAAGTTGGAGAAATATGGCTTAGTCAGAGGCTCACATACATTCATGTAACTTTTTAAACAAACTACAATCATAGTGGCCGTCTGGGCACTCCTGGGAGGTCTGAAGGGATGGAAGCATAGGATTATAATTTCACTTAAAATAAATGTAATTAAGAACTGTTTCCCATGGTTTAGATCATAGTGGCAACTCCATGTATCACTTTCTCTACCTTCATTTATGCTTATATTCATTTTTATTGCTGTGCTTTCATGGTGCATTGTATTAAACTTCATAAGAACATTTTTGTAGATCCACACATCCCTCCATAGAGGACCCCCATTCTAACTTCTCCTTTTACTATATTTTATTCTCCTAGGCAGTTTTGCTTCAACTTTCACGACACATATGATGTGTATATAGCTACATAAGCTAACGATTTTAGCGTCATTATAAAGCCTTCACAGACAATGATGCTGGAATTTCAAAAATCAAGAAAGGAAAACCATATTACTCTGCATAGGTCGTCTCGTTACCCAAGATATAAGTCCTACAGGGTGGAGGGCATTACTCCTCTGGTTTGTAGATCACTGTCCCATGTCATACAGTAAGTGCTGTACATACAATGCTAACACCTTAACAGATCATCAGATCTAGCTCCTTCTACGGTTCCTTGACTTTCTCTTTCCTTTAACTATAATAAATGTGATTGTCTAATAAGTACTCCAAACATGTGATCTAGATATACCACAAGATGTGTATTTCCACAAGGGATAACAGATGCCTAACTGTGATTTGCTTTTTTTTTTTAATTTTACTTCTCCATCCAATGAAGTCTATATTGGACTTCAGTGTTCTCCCTAAAAGCTGGCAAATTCTAAACCAGTTTATGGTTGGCACTAGTATAGGAGGAGGGAAGTACTTGAACAGAAGAGAGTATCACATGACCAGGTCCAGAGCTTACCATGCACTGCAATTTCCTTGGTGTCTTGGATGAGAGCATTCCCAGCAGCTACCTGCACAGTGATGGTGTTGGTTCCCTCTGCAAGGAATGTGAAAGAGATGCTGCTGTCCAAGGTGATGAGGGGCTGCAAGAAAGAGAACAGCAAGATCCCTTCAGCCTTCCATGAGGTACCAGGTTTCCTTCCCTTCCTGTAAATCTCAGAATGTCATGCATATTCAGAGAATGACAGCTCTCAGGGGAGTTCTTCAGTTAAAAAAGAAAATAAACTAACAATTTTATTTGATTTCCTAAAACTCTGGCTATATCTCCAGAACTAGAAAGCATATTAATCAATTTAAGATTCTGAAAATTTAAACCTTAACACTGAGTGACACTCTAGTTGTCATATCACCTTTGTTCTTTCCCTTAGGCAAAATAAAATCAGCTTTTAATGCCTGTATCTAATGGCTGCTGGAGCAAGGAATCACTTCCTGTCACTACCCAGTGTCCCTTGTGTTTTACCCCATACTTCTTTGGGCTGCAGGAACTTTTCAAAGAAGTGACCTGTTACGTCAGTATCCCCTGACTTAAGCACAGTGTCATTCTTACAACAGAAAACACATGCAAAACAAATCCAGTGGCCTCACAATTGATTTTTTGGTTGAATTATGTCTCTTTTCCCTTGCAAAGCATTTTCTCCATTTTTATTAGTTTGAGAATGTACACACATGCATATATAATAGGTTGTGATTTAGTTTTCTTTTTGTTTCCTCCTGACTTAGCAAAAGATAGAGACTTATCAAGGACAAAAGGAGACATAGAATGCAAGAAAGTTCTTGAGGAAGGGAAGGCAGAGCTTGAAATGGAAGAGTCAATATCCAGCAGCTTTCTTAAGACCCTTATCATCTCATGATCCCTGTGCTGTGGAAGGTAAGGGATAACAGCTGGAGGCTGGGTAAGGCACACAAGGAAATGCTTCAAGCACAAACTAGCAGACTCCCTATTCCCTTCACTCATAGGGACAACAAGATACAGAATGATAATGTAGCTTGCTGAAGTACACACAGAACTGCTCTCTAAGGGGGGTAAGTATCTGCCAATCCCCACAGTGTATTCATCATTTGCTGGATATGGGCACCCAGAGAAATGCAAAGGCCCGAAGATGTGGTTTTTAGACAGTGTTCTTTCTATAAGGCTGAAATCCTTTTATTCTCACCATATTTGACAGGGCTTCTGAAGAACTAATTTGATTTCTTCTATTTCAAATTCTATAGCACTCCTTTATGATCAGGCTCATGGTTGTTGGGCAGAATCAGAGATACTACCCCAAGCTTCTGATATATTTTCTTCTCTCTTTATTGAATAAAAAAGGAAGGGAATATATAAAGAAATACCATTTCCCCTCAGCTGAAGACAGCTCCCGAGGTGTAGGCATTATTTATCATACATATGGCTTCAGAATGGCACCCGTGTGCCTTTGGAGATGAGCAAAGGATAAGGTAGAAATGGATCTGTCACTCACACCATGATGCCATGTGTGTTTAGAGCCCTGTTTCTTTAATATTTTGCTTATTTTTATTCTATGTGAATATATGCTGTACCTACATGTACTCTGTGTATGACGTGTGTAGTACCTGCAGAGGCAAAAAGAGGGTATCAGATCCCCCATAACTGGGGGCTAAGAATTAAATCCTGGTCCTCTGAAAGAGCAGCAAATAAAATAATCTTAACTGCTGAGCCATCTCTCCAACCCTACAGTCATGCTTTGAGAAGTATGCTGAAGACAAATGGAGCTCTGCATGGTGGTGTCATCCACGCCATGGAAAGATAGAAGATCCACAGCCATGAAATGAGAGGCTATGTGTACCACACTGCTGTTGTCTCCTGAATGACAAGAACAGTGACTTATAACTCAAGACCCAGCAATACCACATTTGGGTATATATTCAAAGGATGCTCAATCGTGCTATGAGGACATATGCTCAACTATGTTCATAGCAACTTTGTTTGCCATAGACAGAACCTGAAAACAACCTAAATGCCCCTCAACTGAAAAATGGATAAGGAAAATGTAGTACATTTACACAATGGAGTACTACACAGCAGTAAAAAATAATGACACCTTGAATTTTGCAAGAAAATGGATGGAGCTAGAAAACATAATTTTGAGTGAGGTAACCCAGACACAGAAAGACAATTAACACATGTACTCACTCATAAGTGGTTTTTAAATATAAAGCAAAGAAAACCAGCCAACAAATCACAATCCCAGAGAACCTAGACAACAATGAGGACCCTAAAAGAGACATACATAGATCTAATCTACATAGGAAATAGAAAAAGACAAGATCTTTTGAGTAAATTAGGACCATGGGGAGAGAATTGAAGGGGAGGGGAGAGGCAGGAAAGGGAGCAGAAAAACTGTAGAGCTCAATAAAAATCAATAAAAATGAGCAATTTTCATAGATGTATATAATAAACAATGGTTGCCTAAGACAAAGGAATTGGAAATATATAGTACTTTGTTTTTTAAAAAAATACAAACTTAGTTTTAAGATAAAAAAAAAACTCTAGCTCCATCGCTATTTGAATGAATGACTTTAGGCAACATATAGGTCTGTTCTAGGTCTCCTCTTTATCTGTTTAGAGAAAAGGCTAACACTGTGGTCCCAGTATCTCAGAGTAGCCAACAACACAGTGTTTATGAACTTCTGGAGAAGTCTTCTTTACTGTGGTCTATAAAACAATTGTTTGTATCTATCATATGGTACAGAAACAACTATACTTATTTTCTTCAGGTATTATATGACAATTAAAAATAAAATACAGAATTTATGTCTAAAACATGAACTTTTGGAGTTATGTTATCTCTGAGAAGTCATTCCGAGATTGACCTAAGAGATTGACAAATGGCTGTGGGTACATTCTGCTTACTACTATTGCATATTGTATTAAGCCTTATGAGTCAGAGGTCTTCCAAGATCTTTGAAAACAAAATAAGACATCAAGATGTAATAGTACAATGGTTAAAAGTTATTTTTAAATGATAATGCCAAACACTGTTGAAACTACAAAGCAAACTGGAACTCTCATCCTATTTTGGTAGAAATATAAAAGAACTGCAACCATTTTGAGGAAAGTTTGGTTTGTTAGAAATTATGAGAACCTTTCCCATAGTGATTTGCCATTTCACATGTCATGATCTGCCACTGTAGTCTTCAGAATTTAGTTAAGAGAAAACATACATGTACATTCAATGAAATTCGTAGCAGCTGTTCACATCAGCTTAAAATGTGGACAGTCTAGAAATTCACCAACGAGAAATAAAAATTAGCCATGGGATCTTCATACAACAAAAAATAATATTAATGCATACATATACATAGGTACCCATAAAAATACAGATGTGTGACTGTCAAAAAAAACACAAGAGGTGAAAGAGATCAGTTTGCACTGTATGGTTACATTTGTATGATGGGCTGTAGCAGGCAAATCTAGGATATGATGGGGAGGAGTCTGGGATGGAGATTGGCCGAAAACATAGAGGAAACTTCGAAATGGTTGGTGAAAAGGCATCAAAAGAGGTAAGATACTCAAGTGAATGCCTTTTCAAGTAGTAAATACACACTGCAGATGCATACATTACATTGTTGATAAATTTTTTTATTACCCAAGGAGGAAAATTTTCAAGAAACTAACAACCACAGTCAATGATTTGCAAATTTAATGATTTAGAACAAAACACATGATCTTAAATTTATTTTAAAATAAATTTTTAAATCAAGATTAATGAATGTATAGACAGGAATGCAGAGATAGACTTGTGACATTTCCATAATAAATATAATTAGCATACTACATACAGTGGATATGTGTGCAGAGAGGAACTACATCCAGTTCCTTGCAAAATTCTGACCATTTATCTGAAATTTTTTATCACAAAATGCTAGGTGAAAGATGTTTAGAAGGGATAATAGGAATGTTTTTATTTTTCTAGACTCTGAATGAGTCCCTCAGGTGGTGAATATCTTCAATTGTTCTTTTGTCCTGTTTGCTGCCCCATAGCGGTCCTTCCATAGCTCAGTACTATTCTCTCTGTTCCTAGTTTCTTCTGGATGTCTTCACTATTCCCTTGTCATCTTCATCAGCTCTAAGTGGGACCTATGGCCCTCTCCCCTCCCCAGAAGATCCTTCTTATCCCAAGACTTAGCTGGTTGTGGCATTTGATCAATAGCATCTCCTCTGAGAGAAGCTGATTCCCTCCTGTCCAAGCAAATCTTATCTTGTCTCCATCTGGCTGCTTCCCTAGGTTCCAGAGCCAAGAGAGGGTTTAGGGCTGAAGGACAAAGGGAGCATTTCATCAGAGGTAGGTGAATGCAAGCCATCACAGCGGCCAGTCAGGGCACAGAGCCACAGCAAACAAATGCTGATGGATGGGGATGCTTGGTCTCTGGGTGGCAGGCCACAGACAGGCATCGATACTAGGTAAATACAGAAGCCAATTCTGCTTCCCAAATTGCTTTTGTTTTTCATCAGCGGTTATGGCAACATGGCTGATTTCACCTTTCTCACAAAGCTGGAACAGTCAACAGGATCCTTGAGTTCTTCATTGGCCACTGAGGTAGAATGCCCAATGCTAAATTAAATCAAGTATTTTAAGGTTCATTTACTCAAATCTATTAGGCATGCAGACACATTTATTAAGCCAGACCTCTGTTAATCCCAGCAAATTGGCCATTCAGAGACCCACAAACCCAGAAGGCAGACGATTGACTTTTCTGCCTCTGCTTTGTCCTAGCGGCAGAGCCAGCTTGCAGCGGGCCCCTTAGAATAATACCTCATGCCCTGCCTAGACTTAGGGTTGTATGCATCATAGTGAAGAGTCCTTCACATGTGACAGGTCACAAATTATCCAACCGAGCCTGGCAAGAAATAATAAAAGCTCTGAGGAACTCTTTAGTTCTAAGATTTCCACTTGACTAATGGATTAGTGAGCTGCAGGGCGATCTCTGGATACAGGCTCCACCTGCAGTCCACACAGCAAGTCGTGAGAATGTTGCACCACTCACAATCCCCACAGTTTAACGTGTGCACCTCGTTCACATCTTCCACCAGCAAGCTGAGCAAACAATGCAATCACTATAC